TAGTGGGAAGCTCCCAGACCCACAGCCATCAAGAAACAGGTGTGCAGGACGCCTAAAGGCTGCTGCAGAGCTGTGAGGTCAGTGAACGACATCTCTTCTGACATGGTACATGGGACTGAGCTTGGTGAGGCCATGGGCACACAAACACAGAGGTGGTACATTCAGTCATATACAAAGATTTAAACTTCTACTGCACTAAGATTATGGCATTGTTTGGCTGCTGGCTTCCTGGATTGTTTTTCTTGAGTTGAGTGATAAGGTTATTGTATGGAGTGTAAAGCAGACCTAGGACAGAAAACAAGCTCCCAGATTGGGCATTATGTTTGTGTACACTTCTGGATCCTGGAAAACACCCAAAGAACATTACATGCACTTACAAACAAAATTAAATTTTGATTTAACACAGTTAATCCATCCTAAGGATAATTACTTAGAATTATTTACTGCTGCTGAAAAATAGTTTTTTCATAAACACAAAGGTGGAGCTAGTAATGCACTGTCTTTAAAACTGGCCTACATCTCCCTTGCCCTGAGCTCCTGGGAATCACATTAGTAGTTGCAGTGACTTCAGGTAGCACTCATGTCCCCTGCTCTGCAGCAGCAGCATTTTTGGCAAGGAGGCAACACACTGGAAGCAACGTGCTTCAGGCATACGCCTTGTGCCACACAGGGGAAAACATTTGTGGAACTGGCCAAGTCATAAACGGTAACAAACCCTGTTTCCATGTATCTATATATCCTGCTGTGCCAGCTGGATAAGTGCAGCCAAACTCTTTGATGGCAGTATTTCAGTTGGACTGCTCAGAGTCAGGGGAATACATGACTTTACATCCAGTTTTTCTTTTGAACAGTTTGTGTTGGGGTCCCACCAGAATTATCATGTCTGGAAAGGCCAAAAAAGGGAGCAAAGAGCCGAGCGCTGCCTGGGAAGGAAATGGGTAAGGAAGGGAGAGGGGAGCTGGGGCACCTCGGGGCTGGAGAGGTGGGACAAAGCACACGGGACTGGAGGAGGCCGAGCAAAAGGCACAAGGTGGGGAGCAGCACCGGGCTCCTGCGCTGCCGGTTTGCGCTCTGCTCCTCGGAGACAGCGGTCAGAGGGAAGGAGCTGTGTGAAACCAGGGCCGCGGCGCCAGAGCTAAGCAGCCCAGCACAGGAACACGGGAAAACGCAAGCGCGTGGTGACTGGGCCGAAAGCACGAAGAGGGGCGTCACAGAGCTCAAACACCACGTGCAACCTGAGGCCGTGCTGAAACACGGAATGGGAACAATGTGACCGTCCGTCTGTAAATGTTACCCAAACACGGGGGCACAAGGACACACTGCCGCCAGCCCTGCCCGTGCTGTGCCCGACGAGCCCCTCCGCGCGCCCCTCGCAGCTGCCACCAGCCGGGCACAGCCGGGACTCTGGTCCGGCCCCCGCTCCCCTCCCGCCCGCCCTCCCCGGCCCGGAAGCGCACGGCGGCCGTCCCGGAGCGCCCGGCCCGGCCCGGGAGCCGCCACGGGAGCCGCTCGCAGCGCCGCGGCCGCCGCCGCCCGCCCGCCGCCTCCGGGGCGTCCCCCGGCCCCGCAGCTGACGGCGCTGGAGAGGCGCATCGTGGAGCTGCACCGGGAGGCGGCCGCGGTGAGAGCGGGGCGTGCGCCGGGACCCTCCGCCGGGGGCTCCGGGAGGGAGGCGCTGGGGCCGAGGGAGGCCGCGCGGAACGCCGGGCCCGAGCGGAGCGCTGTCCCCGGGAAGGAGCCGCCCCTCCCGGCAGCGCCGCGCAGACGCCGTGGGGGCTCCGTGTCCGCCCCGCGCCGCTCCGGGGCCTCCCGAGTGCGGCCCGTCCGAGTGCGGGAGCGTGCGGCGCGGGGCCCGGGGCTCGGAGCGGGCGTGGCTGCGGATCGAGAAGATCTTAAGCGGCGAAAGATGTTAGACGCTGTCCGATAACTGCGTGAGATGGTTTACAAGTAAAATGCGAGAGGCTGGAATTCGGAAAGGGAAGAGGAAGTAGAGCAGAAAGGGAAAGCGGCCGAAGTGGAAGCGCTCCCTGTATCCAACCCGCGTGCAGTGGTGGGACCTCGGGGATCCGGACGCCCTCCGGGCTGAGCTGTGTGTCTGTCCACAGGCGGGCCGGCAGACCTACGTGGACCCAGCCACGGGCTACCAGGTGCTCACCGAGGCCGCCCACTTGCGGAGAGGTAAATGCTGTGGCTCTGCGTGCAGACATGTGAGTATGAAGCTGTGCACCCCAGCCCTGCCTGGGTGCCATCCCTGTGACTTGTACGTTATTGGTGCTGGGGCAGCAGGAGTTGGCAACACATCTTGTGTGTCCTGCCCTGCCTTGGAGAGGATCTCAGACATGTTAAGTTCAGGGAAGGTTATTGGCAGATTTTCTTAAAATATTGGAGCATTTCCCATTGACATTATCTCTTAGAAATAGCATGAAGTGCCCTGCACAGGAGTTATTTGACTGACTCTTGGTTTATGGAAGTTCTGTACAACAAGTCCATCAGCCAAGGAAAAGAAGCAGTATATCACAAAGCCTGTGTCCAACAAGCATTCCTATTTTGGGGATGTGAGATGGGATTTGTCTCAAAGATGGCTCAGTTTTCCAGAACAGTGTTTCAAACTTTGGAAGCTATGTTTTGTAGCAAGATGGAGAAGTGACATAAGGTGCAGGATTTGGTAGAACAGTAGATGAATGTCATTAAGCAATAGAGGCCATCTGATGAGAACTGTGGGTTTGTGCTCCATACGCCCAAGGAGCACCAGTTCTGTTGCTTCCAGGACAGACAAGGCCAAGGCCACAGTCATCCCCCAGGCAGGCTCTCGTTACAGCTGTGCCTGAACTTTCATGTGAGTACCACTCAGGGTGCAGTATACACGGGGCTGGCCATGGTGCATTTAACCTAAAGATCCCTCTGAAAGCAGTGGAGAAAGGAGGTGAACACGTGTGATACACAGTTCAAATATGCGCAGCTGACTGTGGCTCTGCTTTAGCTTTTCCTTTTTAAAGTTGCTGCCCGAGTGGCAAAGACTTGTTTCTTCAGTGAGATCTCTCTCTTCATGTAGGGAAGCTGTCAGGATGCAGAGCTTTGGGGACAAAGAGTTTCAATTGATCAGGACATGGTTACAGATGTACTGAGAGCCCAGGATCGTGCTTTCTCCCCTCTGCTCCTGGTGCCGTGCTGTGCTCTCAGCTGAGCTATTCTGGGAGCTCTGGTATGCACAGCATTTCTGCAGTTACATACAAAATAAAGAAGTTTAAGAACAAAAGATTGTTCTGGACAGTCAAACTGGAATGAGTTGGAAGGGTACATTTAGGAAGTGGTTTCTTGGACGCTAATTAGGACCATTTGCTTGGGGTTGCCATTATTTTCCTTTTAGTCTGGAGGGCACAATAGATCAAATGATTTATATATCATTAACAATTCCTGTTAACCATAAGCCGAGCCGGGCTTTTCCATACTGATTACTAAGTAATGCAATAATAGCTTGTTTTATTTCTTCTGCAGTGTCCATATGAGCAAGTTAACGTAAGAGACCAGTCGAAAAAGAAGCGCTTCAACTCTTTTTTCTATGTGTGACCATGAACGCCTCTGCACTCAGCGAGAACGGCTGCAGGACCTGAGCACACCTTATAGCTCCACGTGGCTGCCACCACCAGCACGCTGCCATGCGCCGTGCCTGCAGCCGGCACACGGTGACTGCGCTTTCATTGCAATAAAGCACCAACTGAACGGTGTGTGCGTGTGTTTTGGCACAGCATTATTGATCGCTACAAGTAACGGGTTTATCCACTGTTGGATTGTATCTGGTCATACCCATGAATTTCACTTGGAAAGAAGTCAGGAAAGCAGGTGTATGCGATAATTTACATCCTCCGGGTGTATTTACTGTCACTGTTGCATGCAGCAAAACATGTAAGAAATATTGCTGATTTTGGGTACATTCTGGAGTTTGGATTGTTTTTTGGAGGGGTCAGGGGACAGTGATACTGTACCGTGTGCTGTGCTGCACGAAGGCAGTGCTTTCACGGACAGCTGCAGCCAGGGGCAATTTGCTACTAGGGCTGAGCTCAGCTCACAGCTCCCCCGGGATGCCACATCCCTACCGGGTGCCGAGGAGCAGACCCGGCCGGGCCACACTTCCAGCTGGGTCTGACCCGAGGCAGCCCCGGGTTTCCCCGCACACTCATGCTGGGCTGAGTGCCTGCCCTGAGATGGGGTGGGAGGAGGACTGTCTGGGCAGATTGGCCTGTGTTCTTGAATGATTTACATTCTTCGTATTTGATTGAACGACTATCTGATCAGTGTCCAAGTTTGTTAAAGGCTTTGGAAGACGAAAGTGTTCTGTTTGCAAGCATAATACAAAGTGTAAAGTATGCTACAAAAATCTGCGAGCAGCCGGGAGGTGCCGAGCCCTGCTGTGCGTTGGACGGACCCTGAGCGGGCGCTCCTCCGCCTTTGTTCCGTGCACACGGCAACCCCTCTATTTCCTACTGCAGCCACTGCTATCTGCGCTGTTGCTCTTACTGCCTGGCACAGCATCTCCCCCAGATCAGCTCCCAGACCGGGCGGCACCAGGACGCGTCCCGTCGCGGTGCTGGTGGGCGGCGGCGCCCCAAGAGCCGCGGAGGAGCCCGGCTCCGAGCGGCCCCGGCCCTCTGCCCCGATCTGGCGGCGGCGTCCCGGAGCCGCTGCAGAACGGGACGGGGGGCACGACGGGCTGCGCTACGCGGAGAGGCGTTTTTCATCTGCGCACTTTCAGACGAATAGGGCGGTTTCGTTTGGGCTGGAAACTATTGTCAGTTGCTCGGTGTCCTATTTTGCTCCATCCTCGACTCCGGTTGAACGAAATGTCTCGAAGCCTGTTCCAAAAAGATGCTCGTACAGGCTTCCAGATGTTAAGATTTAGATCATTTGAACGTCAGCGCAGCCTTCTGGTAACAGAACACATCCAAATGGATTTCGTTCGTATATTGACGTCCGTCAGACGGGAAAGAAGCACGTTTTAGAGCTGAAGTCCATCCCGGCCGTGTTAGCAGCGGGGTTGCAGGCCGGGCGGGGCGAGCCCGGAGTCCCGGGGGCACCGGGGGCTGTGCTCGAACGCGGGGCCGGCGCAGCCCGGGCCTGCCCGCAGCAGGCAGCGGGGACAGACCGCGGCCCTCGGCGCCCCCGGCCCGCTTCCCGTCGCCTGCGGAACCCTTCGGTGAGGGGCACAGCGCGGGCAGCAGGTGGCTCTACCGGAACCACTGCGGCAGGGAGAGGGGCGACGCCTCGGGCGCTATAGGGAGCGGGGCCGGGCACCGAGCCGCCACGCAACAGCCGCCCCGCCGCCATCCCGGGCTGCTTTATCCCTAGGGCCGCCCCGGCTTAAACTTCCCGCTGAGGAGCGATTTACCGCCCGCCACCCGAGGGATCAAACCGGCCCAGCCCCGCAGCCGCACAGAGCACCCTAGATCACCTGCGCACAGGGCACGCCCTGCGGGGCTTTCTCCCCTCTCCTTCCGCCGGCAGCGCTGCCCCCCCTCCCCTCCCGACACCCCCGAGCGCTTCTCCGGGCGCGCTGTCGCTCCGTGGGACCCCTCTGCTGCCCGCGGGGCGGAGCGGTCTCCGGGCGCGGCTCCCGGAGGGGCCCCGCTCGCTGCTTCCCGGGAGCAGAGCGCTGCCTCCGCCCGCCGCCCGGTTCCTTTTCATGAGCAGATCGTTAGCATCCTTTGCCGGTTTTCCTTCTTCTTCTTCCTTTTCTTTATTTTTTTTTTTCTCCCTTTCTTTTTATATGAATAGATCACCAACCTGGCCACGTCGACCTGGCGGTCACACAGCTCAGGGAAGAGGAGCTGAGACTGTCACAGGAGCTCAGAGAAAGCCCCGGGGAAGGCCGGGCAGATATCAGACCGCGGGGAGAGCGGCTCCGGGTGTCAAACGCGAGCCTCGAGCTTCTATTTTTCTGTTGTTTTGAGTCGGTGGATCAATTGTCATCGGTCCTGTCACCTAAGAAGCAATGATTCCGATTCAACTTGGCATCTGATTTTATTCTAATGGGTTAAATTGGGTTCACTTTTTCAATTATCCCAGGTTTGACTGCGTAGTATTGCATGACAACTCACAGTTTCATCGGGTTTGGCAAAGCGAGCTTGCTCCGCGAGTACGTATATCATATCACATCAGATCAGGCTGAAGTTTGCTGTTTAGTGATTCCATTCTCGAGTCGCTTTTTGTAGAAGTGGGAAGGGTTGCTGCAGTCCGCGGCTGGTTCGGCACGATTCGGGGAAAAAAAAAAAAATGCGGCGAGATGGCAACAACACGGGGTTCGCCGCTCAGCTGTGAATTAAGCACAGAACGAAGCAAGCGACACGATGGGGAACAGCTCCGCTCGCCGCAATATTTTTAGCAGCCTCTCAGCCCTCGCCTTTTTTTAATTTCCTAATATGCTCTTTGCTTTATTAGTTTTATTTACAACCGGCTCCCATTAACACCTCACCTGATTACTGAGGAGCTGAGACAGCTAAGCAGGAAAACCCAGCAAAGCGGCCAAAGCTGAGAGGTGGGAGCCGGTTTGGTTTTCATTCGTTCTTTTTATTAATATTTGTTTGTTTTGTTTCGAAGTAAATATTTTGAAGCGGGCAGCAAAGAAAAGGCAGGTAAACGCGTGTGCTGCGGGGGTCAGAGGTGAGAAATTCGCGTCAATTCCGTATCAGAAGCGATGTAGCGAGGGGGAGAGAAGCGAGAGGGGGAGAGGGAAACAATCCTTCCACGCAGCAGCTTGTTTATTTTAATTAACGTAGGGATCCTCCGCCAGGAACAAGGACCCACCTCCATCTCCCGGCTGAGCACCGCGCCTCTCCCCACCCAGACCCCAGCCCTCGCCGCTCATAAAGGAGGGCACAGTTTGGGCAGAAGCTCCTAAGGTCGCAAGGTAAGGTCCTGCGTGAGCCCCTGTAAGCGGTGCGGCGATTCAGACCTCACGATGCCATTTGCGGGTGTTCCTTTGCCGTCGTGTTGTGTTTTTTTTTTTCTTTTTTTTAAACCAACAGCCAGAATGGTGGTTCCCCCAAGTGCTTTCGCAATCAGCATTCGGTGAGGGTGTTTTAATCCGGACAAACAGCAGCCTGGAAAGTCCGAGCCGTTCTTTTTAATAAATACGGAGCTGTATTCTTTATTCCTTTTTCTTTCTCATCTTATTTTTTTCCTTCCTACGAAGGGCTTCCCTCACCTGTCTGTGAACGTAGCCGTTAGGAACATCCTTCCCAAAAGCAGCAAAACACGGTACTTTTCGATGGCTAAATCACACCCGGAGTGCGCATTCGATGGGGGTTACCGTCAAACCTCCGAGGAGCTGCCGGCTGCGCTCCGCCGCGGTGAGCAGAGCCGCTGCGCGCACACCGCGATCCGCAGCCCTGCTCGCTGCTGCCTGGCCGCGGGGACGCGTCCCTGGCAGTGCCACGCTAAGCGCATCGCGGTCGTTTATTTCAATATCACCTCCTTCGGCAAATGAACACGCGGCTCAGTGCGCATTTTCAGATTACCGGGCGCTCCGAGTTTTGCTTTTCTCGGCGCGATGCTCTGTGCGGATAGCGCAGCCCCGCACGTGCCCGAGCAGCGCCGGCCCGGCCAGGAGCAGCGGTGCGGGGTGTCAGGGCGCTGATCCCGAGCGGCTCTGCTCCTGGGGTGCGGGGCCGGAGAGAGGCGGTGACGGGAAAAGGTGTTATGGGCGCCAGAGGGGAATTTGAAACAATACCGAGATGTTATATATATATATATATAAAGCAATCAATTTAAATGCAGAAAGCAACCTTGGCTACATTCGGTATCACCGTCGAGAGAGTCGACTTTACTTCAATTCTCTGTCTGTGTGCTCGACTCCACGGGGCGACGAGGCGGAGAGGCAGTAGCCCCGTGCCCCGCAACGAACTGGCAGAGCACAAAATAGCGATAGATTGTGAACCCAAACCCAGCTCCGAGCGCCTGGCACGGGCAGCAGCACCGCCATTCGCTGTCGCCGTTTGTGCACTCGGATCCTCCGGACGCGATGTGCCGGGCAGAGCCAGCGGGGCTCAGGTGCCCGAGCGGGACCGAGCCCGGTGCCCCCCCGCAGCCGTGCTCCTGGCGTTGGCTCGCAACGGGGGGGATGAATCAAACTCCTTCTGTCCCTTGCTCCCTCCCCGCCGCAGTGCCCTCCCCTCTCCTCTAATTATTGCTGGTCAATTATTAATTTGCATGAAGACGTTGTCCTAAATCCCCCGAACTGAGCGCAGGATCGTTCACGCTGTAATAGGCTTTAGCCTGGAGCCTGTGGCCGAGAAGAATGAGAGCTCTATAGCGGAGCGGTGCCGGCATCGCGTGCCGCAGCCCGCCCGGAGCGCAGGGGGACTGCGGGGGGAGTGGGGGGGACTGATGGCAAAGCCAGGCCGGGAAGGGCGGGCCGAGCCGCTGCGGGCTGTCCTGGGCTGCAGAGTCCCACGGCCGAACCCCCCCATCCCACTGCTCGGGACTTTCGCAAAGGCCGAGCACGTACTTAAGGAAAGGAAAAATCCGGCACTGACTGAAACGCCTCGAACGTTGCCCATTAGATGTCTTCCCAAAGTGCTGCGGCGCCCCGCAACGAGAAACTGCGTTCGGAGGCCAAGTGTTAATGCGAATGGCTTCATAGCGGATGAAGAGCTCGATTTGGGCTTTCGATGCCCCGTTGCGGGCTCTCCTCCCCAGCTCGAAGGGCAGCGGCTCCCACAGAGCCCGGCCG